TTTAAGAACGTCCGTTGCAGGTCGTAAAATTAATAATGACAGTTTCACGCCCTTAATATCGACGTCTTCTTGAATAATGATGACGTTGCGATTGTCTGACTGAGGAAGCTTCAAAACAAACGGCTGCTTCAGGTTCTGTTCAATAAACGACGACCAGCCGTTTAGAATCTTCAACACGTTCTGGTCATTCTCGACTGGATGACAAAAAACGATCACATCGTCATGTGGAAGCAATTTCGCCTAAAAAACATATCAAAGGTTATTTCTGTGGTCAACTAAAGTTGTCTGATATCAAAAAAATCATACATGAGTTAATATCGACATTACTATTGGCTACTGAATAATACCAAATGGTCTTTTACAAACTAATTAACATATACTGCGCGGCATATCAATGAGAAAAAAGTCCATCTACAATTTACAGATAGGAAAATCTAAAATCTCAAAGGAATATACTACAGAACCATACAGGAAAATTTAAAAATATTGGACACAACGGAAGAATGAACTAGATTTTATCACTCAGCTTGAAATGGACTTAAGCTGAAAATGGATACAAAAATTAAACTGCAAGGAGAAGTGATAGTGCTTTGCAAAATAATGCAAAATGCGACCAATAAAAAAATATGAGTGGCCAGAGCTTGCTGTCATTAATTAATCACATTGTTGAACCCAAACATCCAAAATGTCTCATGCCGGACAGCTAAGTGCAAATTGTTATGCTTGGTGGTTGTTCCGGGTTATCATAAAACAGCAGTGGAACGTTTGAGATACCTGCCACAGAACTTAAGGCTTCCTGGATGCTATCAAAGATTTAACTTAAAAACATGACACTTCTCTTCCATATCACGTGTCTGCCGTTTTACAGGAACATTATGGCAGTTTAACGGTAGTTTCACTTGTAGCTTTATTATATTACTTTTTTTCCCATTTTTAATCTATCATGTCTGCTCATATAAAGAACTTTAAAGAGTAAGAACAATTTTCGGTAACTTTATACTATATAAGGACTTTGCCGGTATAATGATGCAAACATTTTAAGTATCTGACATTGGCTTCCTACACGACAGTAGTTAGGAATGCAGGTCATCCATATCAGGGCCGTAAATTCACTTATGGAAAGGAAACTATGAAATACAAACAACTGTAGAACATAATAAACTTACTGCAGCGCTGACCGAAAACACAGGCGGATCCAGAAATGTGCTATTTAGTGCATGAATTTCAAGAAGGAAATGTTACAAAAAATATGAACCAGGAAAGTCATACTGTACTTGAAACAGCTGCGATCGCCAGCCCCCATGAAAGTAACAGATGACTGCTTTACAATGGTTTGAGCATTGACCAAATTATAAAAGCACAAGTCTATACTGATAACCTTTACGCCATTTATAAAGTTATACCGTGTACTATAAGTCAAAATATTTTGCTTACGAAAGAACATGGTATACAATTTCTGTACAGCATTCAAGGTAATACAATACCAAGCAGTTGATAGTCACCAAACTTCACCACCAACTTACTGCATAAAAAACTGTATTATATTATAATGTCATGAAGAAAAACTTGAAAATTCATAAAAAAAGGTTTATTTATATAGATTTATCCTTTGTTCCGGCTGACATTTTCGCAGGATTAGATCATTAGAATTTTTCCTAATTATCCAATCCTGCGAAAATGCTAACAAGGACATGAACTTTGTGCGGACTGGACAAGTTTTATCCAGCCCATGACTCAAAAGACTACGTTAACAACAGCATGGGGGAAAAGCACACCTTCAGCTTTAGACATGACACAGCTGTGGACCACATAATCAACTGCAGAAACCAACCGTGACAACACTGAAAAATGCTCGAGATGAGTGGAAACGTCAGTACTGTTCAGTCTGATGAACATATTCATTTTCTTGTACATAGACAAACCGTTAATGTATGATTTTCAGTTGACCGTATGACTTTTTCCTAAACGAGACATTACAAACTCACCCCACTTCCCCCCCCCACATCGGTGACGTAATCGGTTGCGGTAGAACCGGACTATTTCGCCAAGTGCTGACTTTTTTAACCGACCAACTATGCTCTTACTACGACTGCAAACATTCGTAGTACGACTCTGCCGCCACATTTATATCTGTGCTACAAAAGCACAACAAGTACAAAAAAGACAAGTTATATGAAAAAGCTCGCGGATTATGAAACAGATAACCTTCCATATCGACATATTAGGCAGTTCTTCTGCGTAACAGTTATAATACTAGATATCAGAGACTGAAGATGAAGAAACACTGACATCGTGACAATACGTTGCTTAATAAACCGCTTTATTACAACCTCACGGTAAATTAAATAGCTAAAAGACTATTAATGCACAACGCAACACAATAGGTCGACAGATGATAAACATAAACTTCATATAAAAACTCTAATGCGTCATAATATACCGTTTTATGCTTTGATTTCGGCATGATTATCAAAGCAACTATGAACAAGGTGCTGCTACACTTGCCTTTTTCCGGAGTTTCTGAATACGGCTGACGATTTCTCGAGCGAAGCCCTCATCTTGCATATCCTTATCCGTCGACATATTTAACAGTACCGTCAATCCAGAATTACAGCCTGGTTCATACGTACTACCACTATTGTCGTTTCCCGAAAGAACGTATCTAACTTTCACGTCCTCGTCGTAGCTGATTTCGTACCCGCAGACGTTCATTACCTTTGACTCCTCGAAAACTGCGAGCTCTTCTGCCGACATGTTCTAAAACTCATG